AGTGAATGGGTGCCGTCAGAATGAGAGTTGATAAAAACATCACAATAATCCACGCAACATCCACACAACTTCAGTCCATCAGTTAAAGTCTTGTAAAGTTAAAAAGCTGTGTGTTTGTAAGAAACAAATCCGTCATTAAGGCATTTTAACTTTAAACTGTGGCTTCTTGCCAAAATCCATAGATCATAACAGTGAAAATGTCCTTTCCCTGTTGTCCTCTTACATCAAAATCCACTGACATATTTATTTAGAACTGTTTTGGATTGTTTTCGCTTGTACACAAAGCTTGATTTGTGCATATTTCTCTCTTCATTCAGACAAGAACACTTTTTCACTGGAGAAAGCGATATTATGGATAAAGGACTCATATTTTAGTTGGAAACAACAGTTAGAAGTCAAAAACATCTTGATGGATTTATTTATTACAAACAAGCAGCTGTTTGCTTCACAATTGATCGACTGGAGTCGTGTGGATTATTTGTGGATTGTGTGTTTTTATCAGCTGTTTGGACTCTCATTCTGACGGCACCCATTCACTGCAGAAGGATCCATTGGTGAGCAAGTGATGTAACACTACATTTCTCCAAATCTGTTCTGATGAAGAAACAAACTCTTCTACATCTTGGATGGCCTGAGGGTGAGCACATTTTCAGCAAATTTTCGTTTTTGGGGGTGAGCTATTTCTTTAAGTTGCACAAAAGAATGAAAGTCATATGGGTTTAAAGTGACATGAGGGTGAGTAAATAATGACAGGATGTTCAGCTCTACCGTTCTTTTAAAAAGACACACATTTTGAGATTATGCCTGCACTGTGACTTTCCTCATCAAGTGAAATCTGTCAGGTCAGATTGGCAGCCATATCACCCTGCAGCCCAAGACTGGTTGCCCACTGAAGCTAAGCAGGGTTGAGCCTGGTCAGTACCTGGATGGGAGACCTCCTGGGAAAACTAGGTTGCTGCTGGAAGCGGTGCTAGTGAGGCCAGCAGTGGGTGCTCACCCTGTGGTCTGTGTGGGTTCTAATGCCCCAGTGTAGTGACGGGGACACTATACTGACAAAAAGCACCGTCCTTCGGATGAGACGTTAAACCGAGGTCCTGACTCTCTGTGGTCATTAAAAATCCCAGGATGTCTTTCGAAAAGAGTAGAGGTGTGACCTCGGCATCCTGGCCAAACTCGCCCATTGGCCTATGACCATCATGGCCTCCTAACAATCCCCATATCTACTGATTGGCTTCATCACGTCTCCTCTCCACCAATGAGCTGGTGTGTGGTGGGCGTTCTGGCGCACTATGGCTGCCGTCGCATCATCCAGGTGGATGCTGCACACTGGTGGTGGATGAGGAGATACCCCCTGACAATGTAAAGCGCTTTGAGTGCGCAGAAAAGCGCTATATAAATGTAAGAATTATTATTATTATTATTAGGTCCCAGCCTCTTTTGTTTCGTGTATTCTTTGAAGTGCATTACGCTAATGCAAAAAGCAGGTACCCACATGAGGGAGTAGAGCCTCCGTTAGTGATACATAGCTGCTTTTAATGAGCAAGTCACCGATTTAATCCTCTGTTTTGCTCAGAGGAGCTTGACTAGCTGCATTCTGCTTTTACAGACCTGCTGTGTAAGGCAACTGTCACGCATTTTGGCATTTTCACAGTTTGTAGAGCCCAAGGTCGTATTCTGTTTGTCTATAGATCTCTTCCTGTCTGTTTGTCTCTCTCTCTATTCCAACAAATCCAATGAGACTTTCCTGGCTCTGGCTGCGTTTTTGTTGCCATCTCTAGGGGCCATTTAACAGAAAAGTGTGAATGTTTTTATGGCTGGCTGCATCGTTCAGATCTATGTACTAAAGTGAGATAATGAAAAAGGTGAGTCGCGTTTAATGGCGCAGTCCTCCCTGTCAATCACCAGCTCATTGTGTTGAAAATGACAATGTGGGTGGACATCCTGAACTATTCCCAATTTAATCACCATGGTTTCCAGGACATAATTGCACTGGATGTCTTCATCCTTATGAAGCAAGCTGTTTGATGTTCAATAGGACAGCAATATCACAAAATAAATCTGTTTTCAGTTTCACTTAGATTACATGGAGAGCAAATTGCTGAAGTCTTCTGCTTCTCAGATTGTTCTCCCCGTGTGTTTCTCAATAATTTCTCAAAATGTGCTCATATTTGCCAAGTCAGAGATCTCATCAAATTATATGAGATTTGATGAATAAATAATGAATAAAATATATTTATTTGTAGAAATTATTATATGGAAAATATTACTACTCACCAATAGAATGCTGTTAAATGTGTAAAGCTGAAGTGAAATTTAAAACTACGGTCATCATCAATAAAATAAAAATAATTTGTGATTCATTTAATGATTAAAATAATGTTTAAAAAATCTAATTTATAATTTTTATTAATTATAATTCATTTATTACTATTATTATTAATTTTATATTAATTTTTGTTTTGTATTTTACAAATAAAAATATTACTACTCACCAATAGAATGCTGTTAAATGTGTAAACCTGAAGTGAAGTATAAAACTATGGCCATCAATAAAATAAAATAAGTTGTGATTCATTTAATGCTTAAAATAAGGTAATTATTATTTGTGGTTAAAATAATGTTTTATTATTATTATTAATTATTTTTTTATATATTTTTTTTACTTTACATGTTCCACTGGTTTTTTTTTTGGTCTTTGGAAATGTATTTAATTGAACATTTTATTTATTTATTCATTTATTTTTACTCTTAACATTTTCGCAAACCTTCTAGCACCCACTTGGTGTCTGGGTTTCTCCGGACCCCAGTTTGAAAACCTCTGATCTAAGCAATACTTTCTTCCTCTGGTTTGTTATTATGAAGAAAAGGCTTTTTTCGCTAACATTACTTTATTCTGTCTTTTCTCATCAGATTCTCATGGAATGGACCTTTTCGCAGTGGCAGTGCATGAGTTTGGCCATGCCATAGGGCTTGCGCACACTTCTGCTATTGAGTCCATCATGCGCCCTTACTACCAGGGGCCAGTGGGTGACCCACTCAAGTACAACCTCCCGTACGAAGACAAGATTCGCGTCTGGCAACTTTACGGTAAGAACGTCCACCCCTTGGTCACGTCTGGCTTCTTTCTTTTTCCTGTACCTCCTTCCTCTCCATCAGTTAGCTGAAACCAGGCGCTGTGGCAGACTGGCAGACTGTGTGAGCTGAGATCTTCAATCAAACGTGGACACCCCGCTATCACTGTTTGAATCTCAGATGCCTTGGCATTGTTGGAGAAGCAAAAAAGTGACAAGTAGCAACAACAGTCTCTCTGCAAGACATACAGACAGATAGATGCTGTAATCTGTCAACAGTAAACACACGAGGATAAAAATGAGTTGTGCCTGCTGATAGCGCAGTTACATGCATTGTCTGCATCGTTTTATTGCCATATTCACTAAAAGAACTAGAATCAGGTGCCACAAATAAACCAGCAAAATCACAGTTTCGTAATTTCTTATCTTGTGCATCTATTCTGAGTGCACAGATATGGATAAAGCAGCCATTCTATTTAATGTATTTATTAGAATCAATGGAAATAGCATTTTTAGTTGTCAAGAGTGCAAAATTAAACCCAGTTTTTAAACATAATTATTATATTTTTATTATTTTAATATATGTATTATATTATATGCCATTATATGTGACCCTGGACCACAAAACCAGTCTTAAGTTGCACGGGTATATTTGTTTTTTAAGAATTTACCCTTATGACTGGTTTTGTGGTCCAGGGACACATATTGTATTTTGTTATTTTAATGTATTTATTAGGTTTAATAATTTTTTTTACTTATTATATTGTATGTTAATGAATACAATAATATATAATATTATATTTAAGTCCAATGAATATTATATTCATTATATTCAGACATTATTATTATTATTATCATTATATTCATTTATACATGTGCCAACCACTGTTATTTTAGTATCATTGAGATACTAATATAGATTTTATTAATATTTTGAATTAGTTTTTATTTTTATATTTAATTTTTATTTTAATCATTGTTAACGTTTTAGTAAATTGTCTGTTTTTGTAATTATTATTATTATTATTATTTTAATATGTCTGTATAGTTTTTAAATATAGTTTGGAAATTAGAAATGCTTCCTTGGCAACTAGCTGAAAAAAAGCAGTTTTATTTTATTTCAGTTAACAAATAGTATCGAAGTACTGACAATGTTTTTACTTCTAATTAACTATAATAACCCTGGTGTCAACATAGAAGATGTGTTGCTGATGTGTAGTGTACTATTGTAATATAATGTTGTTAATTCCCTATGTGCTTTAGTTGTTTATTTAGTTATCTAATTAGTTAATTATTTTTTTAGTTTGTGTTTTAGGGAGTTGATATGGAAAGAGTGCATCCATGCTACTTGCACATTCTGACTGGCACATAAAAGTGGTTCAATAGTTCTCCTCCATCTCTTCCCACTCACACTACCTTGTTTTAGCTGAAGTGCCCATTGTAATTTGGAGTGATTGGCACTGCATCCCCCCTCTACAGGCTGCCATTTTCTGTGATCCCACCAGGCAAATAACAGGCCCCAAACGAGGGGCGCAGAGAGCAGAAGTGATTTGGTTTGTATAGGGGCACTATTGATTTAATTACATGGCAGTGTTGAGCTAGGCTAGGAGCACAGGGATTAATTGGTCGTAACCATGATTTGGAACCTGCTAATCAGCATGCAGAATGCCAAACGGCGCTGCAAACACACATGGTGGGAAGCAAAGAGATAGAGTGATGGTTATGGATAGGGATAGAAAGATCAAGATGGGCTCAAAGACAAACAGTTAGTGCCAGGAGCTCTGGAACTCAGAATAGTATAGATGTGTATAGTTTCTGCAGTTTAATGATTGTGCACATTCTCTGAGTTAAATACCACTGCTTTTTGTCCAATTAATTAACCCTTATGTGCTGCTGAGATTGATTGACATTACTGTCTTTATTTTAATAATAGTATTTCGTAGCTAATTCTGCTTCTCAGATTGTTCTCTTGAGAAAAAGATCCCAGTAATCTGTCTTCTTGTGTGTTTCATCTCGATAATGCCTCAAGTTGTGCTCTGACATTTCAATATGAACTGAACTAAACAGTCTCCAAAGACCAAATTATCTCAGCCATGCTGTCCACACCGATTTTATAGCTCAATTCTCTTACTGTATATCAGCAGTTGATATACGGTATAACAGTCTCACTTGTGTCAACTTTTTTAAGAGGAATATTTGATACAAAGTTAAAAAATACGACATAACTGAGAATGAAGAAATAATTAACCACATTATGTTATTCTTATCTTTTTTATTTTTATTATTGCGTTTATTTACCTTGGGTCACTTGATGGGACCCCAAACATGAGTCACATTTTGTAACATTTTTGACAGGGGTTGCATGCATGTTTTTAAGGCAAGTTTGTTTTTATAAGTTATTATATGATTATAAAACCTGTTACGTATCAACCAGACACAAAATATGTATATTTGATATGTTTTTTAGCTATTAAAAGGTCCCCAAACAGGTTAAAAGCTAAAGAAATAGCATTCTTTGAAAATAAATATTATTTGATTTGGAACAAAGTAGGAATGCACCTAGTTTTATTTTTACTTGCACATTATTACTCGTACGTTTTCTCTGTCTTATGTGGCAATGCAGTAGTTTTGCAAAACTCATTTTCTGAGACTGGCTGTTATCTCTAACTTCAGAGTGATTATTTTCGTGTAATAAAGTTTGTCAAAAAGACTGCACTTAGTGTGTGTGTTCCTCTCAGAAATGAGGCAGTTTTATGCTTTTGTGCAAGTTGAACTCGCCTTGTGTTTTGTCAGGTGTTCGGGAGTCCGTATCGCACACGACGCAGCCAGATGACCCCTCTCAAACGGCCGAACCTCCCGTCCTGCTTGACCTCCCCAAAAACAGATCCACGATACCGTGAGTCAACAAGCACGCACCCACAAAACCCACACTCCTCTGGCCAGCATGTCTTGAATATTTTGAATTGCAGAGGTAGCAGTCTATCATTTAGAAAGAGAGTATGTATGGACTTCGTAATGCGCCCGCAACTGCATTCAACCTTCCTGAAGCAAATACCAGAATGACACAAATTACAGACTCAATTCCTGACTCCTAGTAAACAAGCATTTAGTTGCTCTGAGAGCAGCGTGCACCTCTCTATTTCCTCTCTCTCTACATCTTGACAGCAGACATGTGAGACAGGTAGACTTAGTTTGACAAAGGTCAGTAATATATTCCTCTCAGAGAGCTCAGCTAATAAGCTGTGAATGAAGATCTTTGTTAATAAAGTATCAGATGAGTTCCAGCTCACAAAAGCAGCTCTGTGACCGTAATTGCTCCATCATTAGCATCCCAGCCACGTCAAAGTGCTAAGTCAGTCATTAGCCGAGGGGATAACGCATTCAGAGATTCTGTTGCAAGCTGGTAATAACATCTTCTTTGATTTGCCCAATCTTAAACCATGCACATAATAAGGACATTCGGGACTAGTTGCACATAGCCGTAGCTAGCCAAAAATATTAAAATACAGGCTTACGGTAAAAGTGCAAATGCTTTCAAACTAGCAATGACGGGTTGTGCTGATTCAAAACTGGATATTTAAATGGTGGCGTAAGAAAGTAGTGCATATTTTAGAAAACCTGAAAAATGTCTTGAGTTAAATAAATGTAAAATGCTGTGGTATACACTATTTTATTTTATATTTTAATTTTTATATTTTTTATTTATTGTATTTTCGATTACATTTACTTTCTATTTTATGTTTATATTTTTATTTAATTTTCATTTTACTTTTTGAATTTTGCTTTTATTTGTTTTATATAACTGTTATTTTATATTATTTTATTTATTTGTTATATTCTTTTATGTATTTATTTATTGTAAATTTTGTAGCATTTTATATTATTTTATTTGAACATTTTAGCATTGTATTTAGTTATTTGTTTATTGGTTTTGTTTTGACTAAATACAAAGCAACTTTTGCCCGTTCCAGCCAGAAGGTGAAGTTAAAAGGTCCACCAGTAGGGGCCAACTAGACCATGTATACCAGCTAAATCGTGACTCCTCTGCTATTTTCGAAATTGTTGACTCTGGATCATGTAATTATTCAAAATTATTTCTGCATTGCATTGAGGCTGCATGACCACCTCGAGGTGTGCATACATTTTAAATAATTCAGTGGTCTGTCGTCAGTTATTCCTTCCATAATCAATTATTTACTCATGTAGAGACACAAAAACTAGTGAAAGTATTGTGCTCTTGTTTTAAGTTTATCCATTTCATTTCTTTTCTCTTGTACTTTCTCACAGACCTGCCCATGATGCCCCTGATAGATGCAGTAGTCACTTTGATGCTGTAGCCCAGATTCGAGGGGAGGCCTTCTTTTTCAAAGGTAAGAGCACCCTGAATTCCACAGTGAAATCAATAGCTATAGCAATAGACCAAGTATAAAGTAAATATTAAATATAATAAAATAAAATGAATGTAATAAAAAAAGCATAATTGCATGACATTTTATGACTAAAACTGATATTATGATGATATTAAGATATTAATAACTGATATTAAGACACTATATATATTGAATTCAAACCTGTTTCATTTTATTATCCTATTAGAAAGATAAAGTTTAAACACAAACATTTTAAATAAATAAAATAAAATAATACAAATAAATAAATTTACAAATTAGATAAAAAATATATTTTTGCTTTTTAAGTAAATGTATCTTGTAGGTTTTACTGGAAAAACAAGACCGAAAGTGTGTATATATATATATATATATATATACACACAATTTTTTTAAATTATTTATATTCATATTTTCTATTTTATTTATTATTTAATTTTTGCATTATAATACTTCAAATCAATTTTGTGGACACACAAAAAAAATATTTTTTATTTTATTTTGAATTTCTTGAACTTGGACTGCTGTGAAATTGTTTTGGTTTCCTGTTTAGTCATGAATGTGCTGTCTGCCGACAACTGCTGTCTGCATTTTAATATATTATCATTTGTGCACTGTATTTGCTTGGCTGGTTCTGCCAGCTGGACACCGTCCTCCCCACTGCACCCGGGCATGCACACATTCCACGCTTTATTAATCACTGTCCCTTATACATCATATGATAGCACATAATTACACCATAAGCTTACATAAACACACATTCTTACTATCACACCTCTCGTCAGGGAAGTATTTTTGGCGTCTGACACGTGAGAAGCACCTGGTGTCATTAAGGCCAGCTCAGACCCATCGCTTCTGGAGGGGTTTGCCTGCCAACCTGGACAGCGTGGATGCTGTATACGAGAGACCTGGAGACCATAAGATAGTGTTCTTTAAAGGTAAATGCCTGGATTTAATCTCTTATTAAGTTAGTATTTAATGTAACCCTTCAATATAACCTTTACTTTAATTATTACTCATACATCTTTTTGTCAGAATTTCTTACCTTAAGTATAACATTTTGGCACATAAGTCATCCTGAACTGAATGAGTGCAACACCTTAGCATTGTGGTGCCAAGTTTTGCACAATGCATTTACTTCAGAAAATGTCCAAATCTAGTTTTACACTGTGATTTTTGCTTTTGGCAGTCAGTAATCTGAGGTAATTCCACAGTTAAAGAGATCAAGAACATCTATCAAAAGCTCTTTAAAATTATTGTGTGCAATATTTCAAAAAGACCCTCTGATAATGTAGTTAATTCCAAACATTTTAAGCAAAATGCTCCCTTGGGCGTAAACACTCACTCTTAGGAAAATTCTCGAAATGATTGGAATTTAACACTCTCGAGTTATGTAAATGTCTTTTTTAATAAGAACTGGACTGTAAAGCAAACAATGTCCGTGCATTAATTTTTTTATTTAATTATTATATAAAGGGATTGTGCACAGTTTTACGACCCTGATTCGCCTTGGAAGATATGATTGTATTTCGGTGGAGAGAATGTTCGCCGGGCAGGTGTTTTGATTGTGTGGTTGTCATAGCAGCAGTTTTTAGGTCTATGTGTGCAGAATGGAGAAAGGGGCATAATGTCCTGTCATGCCTAATGCACGGCATTGTGTCTAATGCACAGTGAGCTCCTTGTGTCCTCAAAAATGAAGAACAGACATTTGAAATTCTGTGGTGGAACGAATCAAGCCTGTGTTAAATAAAAACAAAGCTTGCAAGGCACATAGCTAAGCACTTTCATGTAAAAACACACATACAGCTTCTTTTATTTATTTATTTCCGTGTTGTATTACATTAATACTGTCAAAATTGAGTTGATGCATGTAATAATTCAAACGGTTAATGCTGTTAACCTATGTATCAAATCTGACCAACCCATTGTCAGCATATTCCAATTATGCAAAATGATTGATAGGTAGAAAGCCTATTTATGATGGGGGGGAAATGCAGGCCACTCTCTCTTTTTCTATTGCTTTTCACAGAGCTTAGGACCGTCACATAGATGAGTATTATTTCTCAGAATACATTTCGGAGATATCTATTAGGACATTTTATGATCGGTATTTTAAAAAATGTATTGCTTCCAGCACCTGCAATTAGCATTGAAGCATTTTGAATATTTTTGAAATGTCACCCACAAGTGAAACTCAGTGGCGGCTCGTCGGGGGATGCAGGGGAGGCACAGCTTCCCCAAAATTTTGAGGTGAAAATGGGAGGACGATGTAATGTTAATAAAATTCACAATTCATTTCAGTTCATATCTCAAAACTTGTATTTTTTGTTTGTAATTTCACAGCTGTAATACCATAACATGTTACTGAAGTTGGAAAGCACCGCTTTTCTATCGTGAATGTGCCGAATCTGCTGATGTAACAACTGCTAAATGATAGAAAAGGGGAGGGGGAGGCCGGGGGAGAGGCGAGCTCTCGTGCCTCCGTTGGAAAAAAAAAATTTGCCAATCAGCATCGAGTGTTCACTTTCAGCGCTGAGGAGTGTTGAGAAAAGAAACCTCGTAGGGGAGGCTAGCATCCCTTCTGGTATATCAACCAATCATCATAGAGACGTAAATTACGTAATATTAGTTTGAACATCTCACGCTGCGCTGATAATGTACCAAGTACTTATGAGTAGCGATATTGAATATTTGATCGCCAACAGATTTACCAAGCTGTCATTCAAACAGTATATATACAAGTTAAAAATAAAGGGAGAACACGCCTAAGCTGGATACAGGTTAACGTTACAGCAGTCGGCTCTTTTAACAGACTTTTAAGAAGGAATGGATGTTTGCTTCAAGTGATAGGCCAGGTAAGTGAAATTATATTATCTTGCTGTATGTGTGTCGTTTTCTTTACGTTTTCTGACTAAAAGCAACCAAAAAGCCATTTTAAAGTGGTTAAGCAAATAATAATAATAATTGGCAGAGATCCCCAGACCAATACAATTAGTGTGCCTCCTCTATTTTAAAACCCACGAGCCGCCACTGAAACTGAAGGCCAGTTATTTTGCATATTATGCACATGTTAACCTATAAAGACATGCAGATGAACATTTTTGGTCATTGTGTCATGTATCGCAGTTTTTTCCTTAGCATCTCATGTTACATTTTTTACAAATGGCAAGTTAGGGACCTTTAGGACACATTTAATTTTCGTTTGCGCTGTTTTATCCACCCTGAAAAAATGTCTTTGCAGTTTTGCACATTGCTAATTCACACACAAGCATAGTTTTAGGCTCCACTTGACGCACCAGATCTTTTTCCCTGTGGTTCCTCTAAGCATAGTAAGGGGCAGAGAAGGTGTCTCATCAGGTGTTGTCCTCTGAGGCTGTGCCAACCCCACAGGAAGAGCTCTGAACGAGGAGTGAGAGCAGGCCACAGTGACAGTCCCTGGCCTCCAAGGGAGGGAAAGAGTATCAGCCTGAGGAGGTGCTGGCAACAGTATCATCTTCAAATAGACAGCACTGAAGGCCAATTTCACCTGCAGAGTGAGATGGAGAGAGATAGTAAAGCTCTTTTTCAGATGGGACAAATGCAAGCATTAGGCTGAACCGGAGGAATAGGCTTTCATCAAGTCGCAAAATGTGGTGGTATCCATTGGTGATTCTAGACTCTACCTAGAGGGGCTATTGTCCCGTGTCTTATCCTCCATAAAACATGATTTATTCAGCTGTCAGAGTAGAGTATTAAAGAAACCGTTTTAAAAAATCGAATTCTGTCATCATTTACGCAGCCTCATGTCGTTCCAAACCCATAGGACTTTCTTTCTTCTGTGGAGCACAAAAGGACATATTAAGCAAAATTTCTCTGCTGCTCTCTTCCATATAATTAAATTAAATGGGGACCAGAAACTGTCAAGCTCACAAAAGAAAAAATAAATAAATAAACGTAATCTGTATGAATTTGTGCCCTTTTCTAGAGTCATTTGATAGCTTTATGTGAGGAAAAGACCAAATATTAAGTCATTATCCAGTATCTTACTTTAAAAACCTTGCTTAAGGCACAAATCAGAGACATCAGATGATTAACTGAATCAGCTGGACAATTAACTGAAAATGCAATAAGTATTTAACAATCACCATCCATGTGGGTGGGGCTAACTTAACAACAACACCAAAGTTAAAATAAAATAAAAATACAAATGGGAGCATCTAATGGACAGGAAAACCCCCTATGGAATGCAGGAAAGATGTATAGTTTCATTAAGACCAAAAGGTTGTTCGCTTTTAACTTGAAAGGTCCAGCGGCTTTCACATTGTAAGTAGTCTTTGATCAGTGTTGGAATATACCTACGAGATGAATGAATTCGGTCAATTCCACAAACAGCTAAAGTATGAACGGTGATTTGCATCCTTAAAATGTCTAGCTATTGGAGATTTTAAATCATCCCAACAAAAAGAAGTACAATGTTGTTTTACCAATATATTGTAGCCCACATGGACAAGTCAGAAGATAAACAACAGTAGTAGAACTGCAGGTGATGAAATTGGTTATTCTGTGTTGTTTTTTCATAGCAAAACTTAACTTTCTTAGAATTGCATCAAGAATAACAATGCCTGCAGGAAAGCAACTTTTGGGCTTTCCAGAGGCTTGACACATCCATCCACAGACACATCACAATCTGCATGCACCAAACGGTCTCTAATAGTTCGTCCTCTTGAGTGAACAAAAAGAGGTTAAATATATTCTTTCCAACATTTTCAACTGATAACACATGCCAATGTTTCGAAATAATTCAACCTTTGTCTGAAAGGGATCAGAAACAACAATAAGACAAACCCTTATTAAGAATGGAAATTTCAGAAGCAGTTAATGAATTATCAGATAAATTGAAAACTAGACCGTGGGAGTCGTCTGGATGGTCCGTCTGGTGTTGTTTCTCCATCCACCTCGAACCTCTCTTGCCTCTGCAATCCATCTGGACCCGTTTTGATGTTTGGATCAGCCCCTGTTGAATGGGCGGCCTCTTAAAAAAATCTCAGAGGCACTGGAGCCAGAGGTGGAACATGATGTCAAATGAAATCTCTTGGGTTGTGGATGTTGTATAGCCACGGATATACCCATCCATCTCGGTAATCCAGTGTGTCTCTCTTGAATTTCTTAAGCTTGGTTTTGCAAATCTCTTGACGATACTTGGTAATCGTAGAGTCCAGAGAAGTTTTGAGTGATTAAAAATCTGGCTCAGTCGTCACACTACGTAGTTGTTGTTCCGTGGAAGAAATTTGCTTGTCCAACTCTTTCTGAACAAACTCAATGACAAGCACTGTGAAGTGGTCAAGTGAAGCTTTGTTCAAGATCTCACACCATTTGATGCAAAAAGATTGATTGTGATAGCCTAGAGTTGGTTCCTTCTGAATTCGGAGATCTCTAGGAATCCGTTTGGATCTCACATACTCACTAAGAGTCGACCCATCGAGAAAAAACGTGTTTTCTTCTTTTCCAAACCAAGGAGATTCTTAAAATAATGATCTTTAGTCTCTAATTCTGTGCAAATGTTCTCAGGGTCCTTGAAAACAATTGCCTCAATATCTTGAAGGGAAAATGAACTGGTAATGGCTTGATTATCAGTCAACTTATTAATGTAGGCAAAATTGGACATAATCCAAAAAAGTAAAAAGGATAACCACAGATTCGCAGAATAACAGAAAAACAGAAATCCAATAAGTCAAAAAATATGAAAACATTCTGTGCCAATTGAGTAAAATAGAAAATATAATTGGGAGAGTGCATATATTCAATCAATGGAAAAAATACAAAAAGAAAAAAGGAATCCACACAACAAACAAAATACAAAGATCAAGGTCCTTTGAACAAAAATATATTTTTTTGTCAGCCAATCAATTCTCAGACAACTAGGAATGTAAAACAGACCACCTGTATCCACAGACTACAGTTTGAGAAGCACTGCTCAAAGCTCATCATATTCTACTACAGTATTACTGGGGGTCAAGCCCCCCAAAGCTCAAATTCTAGTATTGCCCCATGTGGTCTCAAAACAGGAAAATAGAGTTGACAAAAGCCGCAGAGGGAAAAGTGAAACCATAATGTGTATGCCAAATGAAAGCAAGTCTGAAAAATCCATTCTACGCATCAACCTGCATTTTATTTGCTTTTATTTTTCACTTTCTCTTCCCAGGAGCGTCATATTTCTTCAAGGGAAAGGAGTACTGGCGTGTGGCAGGCAGTGATATGGAGGTTGAAGCGGGTTATCCGCGTCCCATCGGCAAGGACTGGCTTATGTGCACGGAAATGCAGTCGGACTCCCCGGAGATGCAGAACAACTCGAACACGAGGCTTCACGGGCAGCACCACGCAGACCATGCAGAAAATGGCTATGAGGTGTGTTCCTGCACTTCGGACTCAGCCTCCCCGTTGGGGATGCGACTGACCTTCTCGCCCGCCTGGGTGTTAGCGCCGCTCTGGACACTCACACTCGTTCTCTCCTCTGCTCCTCTCTGATAAGGGCAGAGCCACAGGCCTGTACTCAAAAAGACTCCAGGAGCAGAACATACAGCAGCCTGTGGGTAAAGAGAGTGTTAAAAAGCTCTGGAAAAGCCTTTTGCCAGCACCGGACTGATGGAAAGGCCTCAGCACTTCAGTCAAGGGGGATTGGATCACATTCACATTTTCTTTTTCTATTTTGATGCTTTTCGTTGATGTTTTTTTCTAGAAAATGGAAATTATATTATAATTATTATTACTATTATTATTAGTGGTGCTTGCTGATCAAATGGTGAAAAATGAAAAATTGCTGCAGATTAACCGTCAGGCTATCCAAAATGTTGATGAGTTTGTTTCTTCATCGGAACAGATTTAGCATTACATCACTTGCTCACCAACGGATCCTCTGCAGTCAATTGGTGCCGTCAGAATGAGAGTCAAAACAGCTGAAAAAACATTATAATAATACACAATCAATCTACATGACTCCAGTCCATGAATTAACATCTTGTATAGTGTAAATCTGCGTGTTTGTAAGAAACAAAGACGTTAAATGATGGACTGGACTCTCATTCTGACGGCACCCATTCACTGCAGGAGGATCCATTGGTGAGCAAGTGATGTAATGTTATGATGTAATGTTAAATGAAGAAACAAGCTCATTTACATCTTGGATGTCCTAAGGGTGAGTTTTCAGCAAATTTTAATTTTTGGGTGAGCTTTTCCTTTAAACCCAAGTATTAAACTTCTACGCATAATTTATCTTACACTGTTTGTGCTACAGACATGAATGATATCTCAAATCATCCTGCTCGTTGAAGTGTGCTGTTAATTTATCAGACCTACGACTTCACCTGACAGACAACAAAACAACTGAAAAAATCCTGCAGGAGGGTTATGAGCCATATTTAGGATCCAAACTATCACAGAGACTTGTAAAAAGTCTTGGAATACATCCATAAGGAACCCTTGCAACCCATCGTGCCAGTGTGTTTTGCACAAGCAAGCATCAATATTTGTATTATAAAAAGTAAGAATGTATTATTTGTATTATTATTCAAAACACGAGAACATTCTTTAGCAGATTCAGTTCATTATTTTGTGTTTCAGAATATGTTGATATCAAGAGATTACAGTAACCAGCTTTCTGAGGCATATCCAGAGCCAGTAATAGTAATGATCGTGATGATAATGATAATAATAATATTGCTGATATAGGGAAGGTGGCAGAAATCTCACGAATAGGGCTTCCGGCTGGCTGCAGTTCATAGGCATCATGGGATACCATGAGCCACAACCTTATAACCTTCCCTCGCTCCAAGTGCTTTAAGAATCCTGTCACTCATCTTTATTGGCACCTTTTTGACTCGTTTCTTACTAAAAGCGTAATCCTTTACTTATTCTATACGGGTTCCTTATTGTAATCCAACTATTCCCAGTGTCTTTTTTTTCTTATTAGTCTGCCTTGTTCTAAGCAATTATATTTACTCTCATCTTCACTACTGACTGTTTTAGGAATAACCACCACAAAATCTTCACTCTAAAGCAATGACCGTAACTTATGATAGCAATCGACTGTATTTTTTGTAAGAAACACCACTGTTGTTTAGTTTATCAAGGTCATGCATGAAGCTGGATTCGCAATGCCTGGATCCCCACAGCTAGAACGTTTGGTTATACTATTATTTTTGTCTCGTTACAGTCTTTCCAACCGTTTCCACCGTCAGAGAGAGTTATGAGAAATAATTCAACAGACTGGGAGGATGTTTAACTCATATCCTGGGCTGCTGAAAGTGCACTCTGATTATATACGTAATGAAATGCTTATATACTATATATAAATACATATACATATATATTTAAGGTAAAAACTTCTATGGCAGTTGCAAAAAACAATGTACATTCTGAGCTGTCTTTTATAAGGTGAAATATTTTTGTAGAAAAATAAAGAAGAATGAGCAAACTTGCGTGATGAGTGCTGTAATTTCATGTCACACTGAGACTAAGCGAGCTCCACGCTGCTGCTTTCCCCCCGCAGACATGACAGCTGCTGTCACACGACGGTGGGAGCCGCTGTTTTGTGCACCACATTCACCCAGCGATGCCAAAATAACATCACGCCACCAATCACAATTGTATTCGCACCCAGAGCTCTGTTGGTATGATATTCCTGTTTGTTTATGTGCAGACATCCTATATGTGTTCTGCTTTAACTTTGTTATTTTGTGCCGGCCTTACTGTAAATCAAGGACTTCGCATATATTTCACAATGGGTATGGAAATGTAACCGTCGCCTTGGTAACGAGCCCACTCCGCGCGGTATGGGAAAAGCTGTAGACGTTTGAGTGTGCAAGAGCGTGTGCGTGTGTGTGCAGATACGAAGATGTTTTAAAAAGTGCTGAAAGTAAAACCAATGACTCTGAATAATGTGCTAGTTACCTTCCGATGGCGATAACAGAAATACTTTGAGCGGTAAAATGTTTCATCAAAGGTTCCAGTGCTGCTAATTACCCGGCTGCCTGGAGACCGTCAGTGCCCGTAGGTAAGCAGAGTGGTCATGTTCCAGTGACTGAAGCTACATCAGTTCAGGGACTATGTGCTGGGATCCTGTGAAGTACCGACTGAAATTTCAATAGGTTTACCGCTTTCTTTAAATGTGAAAAAATCTATCTATCTGTCTGTTACTTTCAGATAGGGTGTTTATCTATCTATCTATCTATTGCTTTCAGATCGGGTGTCTGTCTATCTATCTATCTTGCTTTCAGATAGGGTGTTTATCTATCTATCTATCTATCTATCTATCTATCTATCTATCTATCTATCTATCTATCTATCTTGCTTTCAGATAGGGTGTTTATCTATCTATCTATCTATCGCTTTCAGATAGGGTGTCTGTCTATCTATCTATCTATCTATCTATCGCTTTCAGATAGGGTGTTTATCTATCTATCTATCTATCGCTTTCAGATAGGGTGTTTATCTATCTATCTATCTATCGCTTTCAGATAGGGTGTTTATCTATCTATCTATCTATCGCTTTCTATCTATCTATCTATCTATCTATCTATCTTGCTTTCAGATAGGGTGTTTATCTATCTATCTATCTATCGCTTTCAGATAGGGTGTCTGTCTATCTATCTATCTATCTATCTATCGCTTTCAGATCGGGTGTCTGTCTATCTATCTATCTATCTATCGCTTTCAGATAGGGTGTTTATCTATCCATCTATCTATCTATCTATCGCTTTCTGATAGGGTGGTTATCTATCTATCTATCTTGCTTTCAGATAGGGTGTTTATCTATCTATCTACTGCTTTCAGATCGGGTGTCTCTCTATCTATCTATCTTGCTTTCAGATAGGGTGTTTATCTATCTATCTATTGCTTTCAGATCGGGTGTCTGTCTATCTATCTTGCTTTCAGATCTGGTGTTTATCTATCTATCTATCTATCTATCTATCTATCTATCTATCTATCTATCTTGCTTTCAGATAGGGTGTTTATCTATCTATCT